AGATTTCTTCCTACGGGAATATCTGAAGGTACGTGTCTATAGCAATGAACCTACGACCACTGTTAACACTTTGCCGGCCGCACATTTTTCCCATCGCCGTTAGGTTGGGGGACTTGGTCGCCGCTGGTAAATTGGGAAGCGCGAACAGCGTTTGCGATTGTTTCTTTAAAAATAGCATCAGTACGTATTGTTATACAAACATGGGAATGACGGCAAGAAACCATTTCTCTAAGTCTTATAAAAATAGCGATGCAAAGTCACATTTTTGTGACAGCGGCCGATAACCGCTGGCGAAAAGAAGTCACGAGTACGTGACAGCGGACGATAACCGTTGGCTAACGAAATCACGCATATGTGACAGCGGCCGGCAAAGTGTTAAGAAGCAGTTAACACGTTAAGCGCGGCGTCAGTCCGCGGGGACTGACAGTGAACTTTTCGTTTGGGTGGTGACGGTTCGTGGGACCGGCAGTATCGTGTTTAAAAAATAAATGTTACGCACGTCTCCTTCTTTTTTTTTGCAATTTATGAACACTTCTATCAACCCGGATTGGTATTTCTTCGTCTGAATGCCGCGTGAGCGCATTTGTTATCTTCTGTTTATACTCTATAACCGAACAGCTCGCAAAGTGATCGCCGCTGTGTGCCGCCTGAACGGGAAGCAGAGCGAAATCGACTCCGCGCTCAACGTGTTAAGCAACAGTCCAACGGAATGTGGGAGTAACTTTGAAAGAGGATGTTTCAAGAAATGTCACAGGTAGTAGGAATAAGATTTCCCGAGAAAATTTTCCAGATATTATTTCTAATTTATGAACTGAATTACCTTGAAAAATCTATTATTCATACTCTCCTGGAATACATTTTACTATTTCGAAAGTTGTAACATTACTCGTCCAATCTGTATTTCTACGACACAAGAAAAAGCACACATTAGCACGAGTTGACGTCAATTTCTTCTGAGACATGCACGTGTCAGACGAAGAAGGGTAAAGTCGGCCGTGAGACGATTCGAAAAACTTTTTATCCATGAAAATTGTGCGAACGGAATCGACCTAACGGCATTGACTTCCTCGTTTCGCCTCACTTTTCGCCTTTACAACGTGTGCACGTGTGCTTGCGAGCACAGAGACTTGCTCGCGTGGGGAGCGTTCATGAAGGGAGATCGAATTTGCGAAATGGCTGTGTACGAGGGTTGAATTTCTGACGAGGTAATTCGCGGGGGGTGGGAGAAGCAGTCCGACGTCCTCCCGCGGAAGGTAGAACAGAAAAAAGTTGTAAGGGGGCGAAATTCAAAGTGAATTTCCCTTGAAATAGGCGTCCCGGCGATTCACTTGGTTACGGGTGACAAGTTATCAGCCTCCTCCTTAAGAAGCATCGGGCAGAATGATTTTCGCTATTCATCGTTGTTTATACTTCGAATACACGTGTTCCGTTTTCACGGATAAACAGCTATCTAACAAAGTTAACACGTTGACTGTCACGCCAGATTTACATGTTTTGCTCAGGGGGCCACAAGAAAATTTTCATTATCCTAAGTGTTTAACCAACAGGGGTTC